GTCCCCAGGCAGTCCGTTCCAAGGTCAGTTGAATCACTGCTGTCTGATCAGTGTAGTCAGACAACTCTAGCCGATTCGATTGAATGCGTATGGCCGTTTGGAGAAAAAGTATCATCTATTATATAGTAACAATTCTGCAGTCAACGGGATTCAGTGAATATTGGAACAGCAGACGTTGCACTTTAAAAGTACATAACGTGGGATTGATGGTTTTCGTGCATATATCGATTGCATGTTGCGCATGCTAGGCACATGAGAGCATTTATGGTGTGAATCACGCATGACGAACACAGCAGTTGACTACGGCTGTGTTCACTCCAGATACGGATGACTGCCATTTGTCATACTTTCATTTCATGAGAAATAACATGCTTTTGAGTTCACCCATAGTTGTCCGCACCCTGCGATTGACTATTCGCCTGTTGTTATGTATTGCATAAGTTCCGGTTTTGCGATACTTTCTTTCTGTTCATTGAGACTGCATTAATGTGCTGGTTGATTGTCGCGCCTCATTTCGCAGTGCCAAGTCGGTGAGCCCATTTTGCTGTTTATTGCCGAGTGCTAATAAAAGTGCAACCAAATCAAGTTCCCCCGCGTCGGCACAATATATCTAGGCTTGGGCGTCAGATTTACCAAATATCTCAGTTATGACAGTCATGGTAGAGGCAGTATCAACAAGTCTTCTAGTGTATCTGCTTGGGTGATTCTGTTTGTTGTTTACACAGTGTGGATATCATGATATGAGAAGACGATGCTTGAGGCATGCTCTGTTAAGAACTCATGGACGCATTTTTTTCGGATTATCCCTCATAATAGAATCGCATTAAAAAAATCTATGCAATGATTGACATACCAAAAGTTAAGCATCTTGTTTTATTTAAGTGTAATGTATAACATTGAAAAACCTTGTAAGTACAGCTGGTCCTGTGATGGCTCGAAACCGGATGTTGTGATTTTGTTATTGTTATTGTAGCTTCCACTGCATTACCTATGGTGCTACTGATTGATTATCCAATGCTGGTTTCTACCATACACAATCGCACGCACGTAATACTGACTGCGTTCACACCAAAACCGATTCGCCAAACAAACTTTAGCATTGAGCTAACCGCTGATTCGTTCCCCCCTTGACCGTGCTCCGATTGCATGTGTAATGTCTTCGTGTGCTGATGGAAAATCTGCCTGCTTTACTTACGTCCGCGGCCACGCATGCACCCGTATGTTGATCGTGGTGAGAAGGGTTGTATGCATGCACACTGCGTTTTCCTACAATTTACGCACACAACCCCGGACATGCGGGATTGTATCACATTTTACCAATAGACTACTCAGATTGGTTTCAACTCAACACAACAGTGACTGCATCCATTCATCCCCGTCGTCGAACATCCGGAAGTTGAC